GAACCGGAACCACTGCAATGTAGTGCCGCCGATACCCAACTCTCTCAGGCGTTCCAGAAGGATACTATAGTCTATGGTATCGAAGGCCACTGAGGTCCAAGGGCACCAACAGGGTCACATTTCCCCTGTCAATGCCCAGACGGAGATCATCGACTAAGGTGACCATGGCAGTCTCAACTCCGTATCCTGTCCTGAATCCAATTTGAAATGGATCCAGAAATCCATTTAAATCCTTCAAATATTTAAACATGGCTATCATCCTCACTTATTGGAATCTTTCAGGAATGCTTTAGTTATGTATTCCTTCATGACAGGGAATTGGATTAGATGGCTCTTGCTGTTCTTTCCAACTCTAACATTCTATGATTCCAATATAAATTAAATTTCTATCCCACTGAACAACTGTTAACATTTAGCCATGATTCTAAAACCTATCTGCCTACTGGCAGAGGGCACACTCCCTATATATAAGAAGTTTTTACTTCTTAAAAATGGTAGGAGCATCCAGTGTAAAAAGTAACTAGTGGCTCTCCCAGATAGAGATATGTGGAGTGGAAAATTCTCTGGGAAAATTAATCTAGAAAAAAGTCCAATGCTATATTTTTCCATAGAAATTTTTCCACATCACACCACACACAGAGAGATGTGTATGTGCTTGTTCAGTCATAAATTGTCTGGGATGATATTTCAACAAAGAAATACTACTGATACTCCAACAAAGAAACAGCTACGTGGGAGACTCAGATAAGATGTGTTGCAGTCCCATTTTGGAAACCAACACAGAGTTTGGAAAGCCACTTCACTCTCAGTCTTCATTCTCCATCTGTGAAATGGGACTGCAACCAATAAACTGGATAGTTGCAAGGACAAATGCAGTAAATTTGTGAACTAAAGCATTTTTCCCATAATGAGGAATGGAGTTGCCTCCAAGAAAATCAGTCCGGTAAAACTTTTACAGGCTTCAAGGGACGAAATCCAAAGGTAGTAAAACTTTTTGGTTATAATTTCATGTCTAGAAAAGAAGAAATCAATCTCTGTACTCATTAGACACTGAGATGCCTAATTCAACCCATCCTAGAAAGGCAGAGGATAATCTGCCCCTAGCCCATCTTTACAGCAAAGGAGGCAAGAAATTAGCTTTACAAAATTAAAAGATCCTTAGGAAGTGATATTTTATGGCCAACTTCACATTAACTGCCTGTGAAGAGTCTACAGAGTATTGCATCCTATTTTCTCATTAGGCCAACTGCTTATACAGACCTGCATCCAATTTTCCACAAGGCCAACCTGGACGTGGCCCTATAGTTATGAGCATCTAAAGAAAGTTGCTTTTCCTAAATTAGTGGGCAAAGTTAGAAATGAACAAAACACAAACTAAGGCTGCATCTGCACAGCAGAAATAATGCAGTCTGACCCCGCTTTAACTGTCATGGCCCCATCCTATGGAATCCTGGGATTTGTAGTTTGCTGTGACATCAGAGTTCTCTGACAGAGAAGGCTAAATATCTCACAAAAAGTACAAATACCAGAATTCCATAGCACTGATCCATGGCGGTTAAAACAGTGTCAAACTTCATTGTTTCTGCAGTGCAGATGCTGCCTAAGAGAAGCAAAAAGCAAATTCCTAGAGCCTCTGTGGTCTCAATGAGAACACTAGGTGTCATGAGAGGTTAACCAAACAAGGGGATTCCTGAGCAGAAGATGTATTCTTTTGCAAGAGTGAATGAACTCTACCACCAAAGCAGGGAAGAGTTCATGGCATCCAGAAAGTACAAAGTCACATATGATCTTGCCTGCCCCCTGCATCTGATTCTCTCTTGATAAAATGGATCAGTAAAGTGAAGGAATGAAGCTGAGCTGCTACTGCAAAAGGAATCTGCTGCTCCAACAGAATATCATTAAGGGCTCCAATACAGAAGATGGCCAACTTTTGCTCAAACCTGGTTTTGTATCGTAAAGTCCTTTACATGGCCATCCTTGCAGGCTTGGGCGGGACCTTCCTTTTTGGGTTCCAAGTCTCTGTGATCAACTTCACTTCGCCATATATCAAGGCATTCATCAATGACACCTGGCTGGAGAGATATAACGCTCCCATCGATGAACAGCGCCTCATGCTTCTATGGTCGTTCACTGTGTCTATCTTCAGCATTGGAGGATTGATAGGATCCTGGTCTTCAGGGTATCTGTCTGCAAAATATGGTAAAAAGAACTGTCTAATATTCAATAGTTTACTTATGATGGCAGCGGCAGGGACTGTTGGTACCAGCAAAATAGCAAAGACCTTTGAAATCATTCTGCTTGGACGTCTCCTCTATGGTTTAAGTGCAGGTCTCGGTTGCTGCATCCAAGGTCAATATCTTACAGAAATTTCTCCTAAGCACCTCCGTGGTTTCATCAATGTCTCTCTTGCAGTTTTTGCAACCCTGGGGAAATTCCTGGGGCAAGTGGCAGGACAACATGAACTATTGGGGAATGAGTCTTTCTGGCCACTCCTGTTGGCCATCAGTGGAGTTTTAGGTTTGGGGATCTTGGTCACTACTCCATTCTTCCCTGAATCCCCACCTTACCTTTTGACCCAGAAAAGAGATTTAAAAGGCTGCCTGAAAGCTCTAAAACAGTTATGGGGTGAAGGGGATTACCAAGCAGAAGTGGACGATATGCTGAAGGAGCAGGCATCCATGAAAAAAGCTAAAATCATGAATGTCTGGGAGCTTCTGAGAGAGAAATCCATGCGGTGCCAGCTATACCTGATAATCATCATAGGGATTTCAATATCCCTAAGTGGCATCAGTGCTGTTTACTTCTATGCTTCTGATGTGTTCAGTACTGCTGGATTTGATCAAGAGCTTATCTCCTATGTGACTCTTGGGATTGGGGCCTGCGAGCTATGTTCCACCATTTTCTGCTTCATCCTCATCGAGCATTTTGGCAGGCGAAAACTGCTACTGTGGGGATACGGTGCTATGAGCCTCATCTTGGCATTCCTAACAGCTGCACTCTCTCTACAAGACAGAGCCTTCTGGATACCCTACTGCAGCACTGGCCTCATCTTCCTCTTCATCACAGTCTATGGAATGGGTCCCGCTGGAGCAACATTCCCTGTCATAATTGAACTCTGCACAGTGTCATCCAGGCCTGCTGCATTAGTCATCTCCATGAGTCTCCACTGGGTCGGAATATATTTGCTTGGGATGCTTTTCCCGTATGCGGTGCTCCATCTGGGTACCTTCTGCTTTCTGGTTTTTATGGGTTTCACTGTAATCTCCTGGAGTATCATCTTCTGGTTTCTCCCAGAGACAAAAGGCAAGTCAATTGTTGACATCCAGGAGGAATTCAGCAAATCAAAAAGGGGAAAGAAAAAGGATGCTGCCATGATTAACCATTTGCATGAAGATGCCACAGTGTGCACAAAACTCTAAAAGGCTTGAAAGAAGGGGTTTATTATAAGGATGGACTGAATGATCACAACTGGGGTAGATGGCAGAGGTCCAAACGAGACTCTATCCTTTAAGAGAGTCTTTGTTACAGCAGTTTTATCTCAGAAGAATAATGTAACACAACCTTCTTTATGCAGTACTGATTCAAATGAAGGTGAGGGGGAATTCCGTAGTTAAATCTTTCTACATGTTGAACTACAAATGCAGCCCTTGTTAAAATAAATATAACAACTGGTATTTGGGAGAGGAAACTAGTCTAGAATTTTTGTCTGTAACAAAATCTTTGCTTGCTGAAATTGAGTCTCACATGGGTTCCGTTAATAGGAGAGCCAAAGTGGTGCAGTGCTTTGAGCACTGGACTATAACTCAGGAAATCAGGGTTCAGTTCCCTGTTTGGCCATGGAACCCCACTGGAAAACCCACTTGGGCAGGTTATACTCTCAGCCCCTGAAACCCCCATGTTACGTTTGCCTTAGGGTCTCCGTAAGTCAGAAAAGATTTCAAGGGACACAACAACAGCAGCAAGAAGCGTTAACAGTCCCAAGAGGTCAGAAGCACATGATGCTTCTGAATGTGCAATCTCTATCTTTAACCTCTATCTCCCTTGAAAAAAAGCTTGTGGCTCTTTCAAGGACCATTCAGTCCAACCCTCTGCCATGCAGGAACTCACTATCAAAGCACCCCCAACTGATGGCCATCCAGGCTGTTTCAAAACCTCCAAAGAAGGAGACTCCATCACTCTCTGAGGAAGTGTGTTCCACTGTCAAACAGCTCTTAACTGTCAGAAGTTCTTCTTAATGTTAAGATGGAATATCCTAAGGTCCTTACAGGCCATTCATGACAACAGTCCCTTCATGAGGTCCTACAGGTACAGTTCAGATGTTGATTTTTAAAAGCATAGACTTCCTCTCTAGAAAGCGACTAGCGAGACCTGCAACAATATGTTGCAGTCTAGAGTACCCCATGCAAAAGCATTCCATCCCATTTCCAGTTTCTTTCCTGCGACAGTCAGCAAGCATTCTGTCCCTAACCATGCTTAGTCTTCACTGGGTTAAGTAGTCTCTCTCTCTCTCTCCCTCTTTGGCACTTCTTAAAAATCTTGGGATTAACCCAAATTTACTGGTACAGTGGGACCTTGTTATCCACTAGGGTTTGGTTCTAGGACTCCCCATGGATAACGAAATCTGTGGAAGCTCAAATCCCATTAAATATAATGGCATAGCAAAATGGTGCCCCTTACAGAAAATGGAAAATCAAGGTTTACTATTTGGAATTTATACTTTTTAAAAATATTTTCAAGCTGTGGATGCTTGAATCTGTGTATTAAAAAAATCTGTGGATAAGGAGGGTCAACTGTATCTACTCTTGCATATGGGTGATGATACCTGGCTATACAGAGATCCACACACTCTAATCTGAATTTTGGTAAAAAAGAAAATGAAAGTTGCAATGCCTACCCACCGCAATGCTTGGCAAAGTTGTCCAAGCCTCTAAACAAGGGGCCCCATCACTAAAGTGTGGTGAGTGGATAAAGAATTTTATATATGAAAGTTATATGAATTTTAGCTGCTGTAACTTATAGGATGAGCAGGTAAAGACATCAATAAAGCACCACTTTCAGCTTCCAGTTAACTTCTAGCTTCACATGTTTTATTGGTCTTCCCAACTACACCATGGAGTAAGGAGGTAGTTCCCTACTTTTACAGGCAGTGGGACCTAGGTGACAACAGTCCCTAGACTGTGGAATGAGCTGCCGGAAGATATAGATGAATACTCTGTCCGAATTTAAAACAGCATTGAAGACCAGTCGCTTCCAGCAGACTTAGCCAGATAATTTTAAATTGTGAATTAAGAGGTTAAATTTTAAATGTAGACTGTTTTAAAATGTGTATGTCTAATTTGTCCTGTTATGCTGTTGCATGTTTTAATTAATGTATTTTAACTGATGTTGTTAATTGTTGAGTTGTTGTTGTTCCCCACCTTGATCCATGGGAGAAGTGAGTAAGAAATCATCATCATCAACATCATCATCTAAAGTTATCAAGTTTGTGGCTAAAATGGAATCTGATCCCAACATTCCAAGAGCTCAGCCTAACATTGGTTTTAATGTTGATCTTTCTATGGCTGCTATTACAGGCCAGTGTTTGCATTTCTAAATCCCAGGTGGGTGGAAGGGTGGGGTGGAAACAACAAGTAGTGGTCTCAGATTGAAATGAAATGTTCTAAGTAAAACCATTCCCTCTTTTGTCATTCCTCTCAACATCCCTGATGAGTCTAAAAACTGGGCCAATAGTCCTACCCAAAATACAATTAGCTACACAGTTTATCCACAGATTCAAGCATCCATGGCTTGAAAATATTCACATATAATATATAATATTCACATATAATATATACATATAATATATATAAAGCAAATCTTGACTTTACCATTTTATATAAGGGATACTATTTTACTATGCCACTGTATACAATGGGATTTTGGTATCCGCGGGGGGTCCTGAAACCAAACCCCAGCAGATAACAAGGGCCCACAGTACTGTCAGAAGTCCAATTTCCCCACTGTAACTCTACATTTTAGAGGAGACAACCATTATTTCAGGCCTCCTGCCTCAGTCACCTTTAACAAGCAAGCTCCCCTGAGGACCAAGGTCTCTTATAGTTAGCATACAAAAACCATAAAAGAGTAGGGAAGCTGTTTCTAGAATTATGCAATGAGAAGCCGGTGCTCAACTGCAATCAGATTTTTCAGACTTCACTGCAGCCAGAAATTTCAAACATGGGTCATATTTCCAAGTTACTACGGCTTCCTTTAAATGTTAAGATGGAGTATGTGTCCAAGGGGTTATTCAGACTTTTTTTATCGTGACTAGGGGCCTTTACAGACTGCCAGAAATAATGCAGCTTGAGTCCACTTTAACTGCCCTGACTCAGTGCTAGGGAATCATGGGAACCATAGTTTATTGTGGCACCTGAGCTCTCTGACAGAAAAGGCTATCTCAGAAAAAACTACAATTCCCATGATTCCCTAGCATTGAGCCAGGGCAGTTAAAGTGGACTCAAGCTGCATTATTTCTGGCAGTCTGTAAAGGCCCTATGTGAATAATCTCACTCACACATTCTGGTTTTGTTGTTCACACTCTTTTTTAAAATTGGAACCGCATCTATGCATATCTCTGTATGTTCTGTTGCTCACACATGTTAACACACAAATAAAGATGGAGTCAATGATGTGGATGTATTCAAAACACTTAAAGGCATGCAGAGTTTTATCTTAGTTTATCCCAGCTCTGTTTGTATTGGTCATTCACACAGCCAACAATGCGAATCTTATCCAGGTGGGGTGGGGATGAGGTTGATTATCCCAGCTTAAGTGGGGAGGGGGGTTGGAAGCCCCCAAAAAAACCTAAATGCATTTCAAATACCTTATTTTCCTGCGTATAAGACTACTTTTTAACCTGCAAAATCTGTGGTTAAAGTGGGGGGGGTCGTCTTATACGCCGGGTATAAGGATAAGGAGGAGAGGGGTGCTAAAACTCTATATTTTGACTGGAAAAATGGGGGGATCGTCTTATATGCCGGGTCGTCTTATACGCCGGAAAATACAGTATATGTGAGCAGCAAAGATTCAACCTATATTCTACCAGGATTATTTTTACAGTCTGAATAACCCCCCAAAAGGAAAAGGCACATGAACTGCCCATGGAGGAAGAGCTGTAGGGCATATACTGTGCCACACAAGGCCAAAACGCAACAAAAGTGTTATGACTCCAGTCACAGTAGTGGAGGATTCAAACATGTGTGTTTCAGCACTCTGCTGAACATATGAGTGGCCTCCAGTGCAAATGGATTCTGTTTCAGATGATATTAAAATATTATGTCAGGGAAAACTCACCTTCTCCTGCTGACTAACAAGGAGATCCCGCTTGAACCAGCTTACTTTTAGCATGAGGGTCCACCAGCCTACACTAGGTATGTAAAGCTGAAAATGCATCTAATAAAAATAGAAAAGATCCTAAAATGCCAAGATACACAACTGAACACAAAAGTTAGAATCATAAAAGCCATTGTACTCCCTATCACCATTCAAGGCTCTGAGAGCTGGACAGTTAAGAAAGAAGATAGGAAGAAAATCCATTCATTTGAGATGTGGTGCTGGAGAAGAGCGTTGAGGATCCCTTGGATGGCCAAAAGGACAAACAAATGGGTCCTAGAGCAGATCAACCAGAGATCTCCTTGGAAGCCAAAATTACAAAA